ACAAAGCTCTCAAAAGGATAACCTTTTTCAAGAAACAAAGATTCCAAAACAAAATGCTAAGAAATAGAAAAAAAAAAACAAAACAAAAAGAAAATACTAACCGCGAATGAAAGCTTCCAAAATATGGCCAACCCAAAAATCAACTTGCACAATTTCTTAAAAACACCAACAAATGTAGCTATGGAGAGGGAGGGGGAGAGAGAGAGGTGAACTTACATCTGCATACAACCAAGTAATGGAGAAACTAGTTTCAAACCCCACCAAATGGAGAAAAGCAAAAGACAGAGATCAAACGCTCATCCCTTTTTTTTGAAAATCAAACCCTGAGCTTTATTAGGGATCCGGTCCCATGGCAAACATTAGCCAACCATGTTGAGGAAGCATTTAACATGACCACCTAGAAGTATTCAAACCAAACAACAAACAACGGTAATAAGATTATGCCAATAGGACTCTGGACATACTTCAGTGAGATGAAGAAGTTGCAGTAAGCGGACAAAAAAAAGGAAAAGGAAAAAAAATTAAAAAAAAAGGACATTTGATTAGGCACATACCTTCTAAATGTCAACAGAAAAAACCTCAAATTTTAGCACTCTACAATAGTCCATAAATTAGTAGGAGTGGTAATTTTATATTAGAAATTAACAACCAGCCCTTTTAGAAACCTCCATCAAAATAAACAAAACCCACACTCTTCAACCCACCAAAGACAAATCCTTTTTTTTTTCCTTGCCTGAGCCACTCCCAGAAAAAGGAACCTGGGCTATATGAATTCAGCATTGCCCAAAGATCCACAACAAAGAAAATAGAATAAAAAGTATAACGGGAAAACCCGATACTTAAAACATCAGAGGAAAAAAACAAAGCTCTCAAAAGGATAACCTTTTTCATGAAACAAAGATCTTGACACTGAACATATCAAAATGCTAAGAAATAGCAAAAAAATAAATAAATAAATAAAAACAAAATACTAACCGTGAATGAAAGCTTCCAAAATATGGCCAACCCAAAAATCAACTTGCACAGTTTCTTGAAAACACCAGCAAATGTAACTGTGGATAGGGGGAGAGAGAGAGAGAGGTGAACTTACATCTGCATACAACCAAGTAATGGAGAAACTAGTTTCAAACCCCATCAAATGGAGAAAAGCGAAAGACAGAGATCAAACGCTCATCCCTTTTTTTGAAAATCAAACCCTGAGCTTTATTAGGGACCCGATCCCATGGCAGACATTAGCCAACCATGTTGAGGAAGCATTTAACATGACCACCTAGAAGTATTCAAACGAAACAACAAACGGAAATGAGATTATGCCAACAGGACTCTGGACTTACTTCAATGAGATGAAGAAGTTTCAGTAAGAGGACAAAAAAAAAGCAAAAGGAAAAAATATTAAAAACAAAAAAAAGGACATTTGATTAGGCACATACCTTCTAAATGTCAACAGAAAAAACCTCAAATTTTAGCACTCTACAATAGTCCATAAATTAGTAGGAGTGGTAATTTTCAATTAGAAATTAACAACCAGCCCTTTTAGAAACCTCCATCAAAATAAACAAAACCCACACTCTTCAACCCACCAAAGACAGATCCTTTTTTTTTCCTTGCCTGAACCACTCCCAGAAAAAGGAACGTGGGCTATATGAATTCAGCATTGCCTAAAGATCCATAGCAAAGAAAATCGAATAAAAATTATACGAGGAAAACCCGATACTTAAACATCAGAGGAAAAAAACAAAGCTTGGGAAGGCCAAAGAGAACCCAATACTTAATTATATCCCAAACCTCAGTCACAGCACCCTCTAAATCATTAAAAACTCGACTCTTCCTTTCTACCCAAAGAGCCCAAGTAGCAGCAAGGACAACCACGTTCCATAATCTCTTGGCACTATTGCTTCTACCAAACACAAGATCACCATTGAAAAGGTCAACTGCCCTACTAGGAACCACCCAAGAAAAACCAAATTCTCAAAATCCAAAAC